ATTCAAAAGCAGTGACTATTTTTATTTTTAAATAATTTGTCCATTTCTTTTTATTTCAGTGACTTTGAGAGTTTTTTTTTTTTTTCAATTTTTTGTAAATAAACTGTGGACAAAGTTTAAAGAACATCGGGCAGTGCTGTGTTTGCTAAATTTCAAATGGTTTTGCCAGTGGCGGAGCCAGACATTTTTCTCAGGGGTGGTCAGACTGGGACCACTACTCAAACAGGGGTGGCCAGGAACATTATATCATTTTTTACTTGAAAGTTTCTGCAGATCTTTGTGTTTTGGTCATTTCCTTATACAGGCAGTGACTACCTCAAAAACATAGGCGTCAGAACCATTTTAAAAGCGGGCACAGACTGTTGGGGGTTCTGGGTCCTCCCCCCAAATTTTTTTGAACGAAATAGATTCCATTTCCTGTATTTTAACAAGTTTTTAAACATACTTTTACCTACATAAATAAATATTTCATTTAATAGTTATTTCAGAGACAAATCATTAAACTAGTTCCATAATCCTGTTTTAAACTCACTGCTACAGCTGAGATAAGGTTAATTAAAGTGACACAATTTATCATATCCAATGACTTTAGGGGTGCTTTTTACTTTTATATTGTTTAATGATTTATTTTTAATTGTAACGTCATTGTGCCAAATAATGATGACCTTCAACTACATGTTTTAAACTAATATTAATAATTTTACCCAATGAACAGGTGCAATATTGATAACCACCAACATATGGGTGTTTCACTTTTTCTGATTTAGTGATAGGCCTACTCATAACCAAAAGGGACAGAGCATCATGCAGCCTTCATAACATAAAATGACCAAATATAAATAAATAAATAATAATAATTAAAATAAAATTGTCACCATAAGTCCAAAAGTTGACACCATAAATGATATTACATAGGCATATGTTCTGTATATAGAGAAAACCATCACTTCCTTGTCAGTACTCTTCTTCAGTGATGGAGCTTGGTGATGTTTCAAGCTGTTAAACACTGCCACCACCTGTTCAGGAGGATTATTACACTTCTAAAGGTTGTTTCAGTGTGTGAGGGGTGTACAGCAGGGTGGCCAAAGATTTGTCTGTGGTGGCCATGGCCACCCCCTGGCTCCAGCCCTGGGTTTTGCTGGGAAGAGTGATGTTCGATACGGCCAATTTTTCTCTGATACTGATACCAAATAAAATTTGACTGGTATCGGCGATACTTTGTGATAACAGACATAATGTGTCTGGTAAATCTTAAAAAGTAGTGTTTTTCAAATAACCACTTTATAAATAATAGCCTACATGATATAGTAATTTATTTAATTAAGTCTTTCTAGCTCTGACCTTATATTTGTTTAGCACAATTTAAAATTCTTAATCTATAGAAATATAACAATTTTTGAATAGTGAATAAAAGTGAGAAAAACAATTTAAAAATTGTTACATTGTTATTTTGTAGCATGGTTTGTGGGTTTGCAAGAAGGTCCTTGGCCAGAGCTAATGCTGTTTTGTGGGGGCCATGGCATGAAAAAGTTTGGGAACCCCTCATCTAGAACAGTGTTTCCCAAAGTGGGGTCCCAAAACTTCAAGGTGGGGGTCCTCAAAAGATTTTCTGAATTAATTACATTTTTGCCTTAGTTGTTACAAAGGAGTGAGGTTAGTATATTTAAAATGGATAAATGTAGAATAAAAAATATTGTTACAACGCCCATGTTTATTGACCTGATACAAATGTTTATCATACAAAAATAGTTGAGGGCACAGGTCTCTGCTACTGTTATTTTGTGGGTCAAAAGCTGAAAAGTTTTGGAACCACTGCACTTTGGTTCCCAAAGTTGGGCTTGGGACCCAATTATGGGTCATAAAGCACCTTGGATAATCTCCAGAAATCAATTTAAAGTGTAATAAAATAATTGCTGCTGTAATATTTTTCCTATAATTATTACAAAAACTCAAAATAAGTAAAAATAAGTATTTATATTTGTGTACAAGCTGTTTAGACTGTCAAAAAGCCTGTATTTTTAGGGTTATTAACGGAGTTCGTGTACTCAGACCAGTTATATTTGGGGTCACAAGTTTTTGTCATGAATATTTTGTGGGTCAGAAGGTAAAAAGTTTGGGAACCACTGCTCTAGAATATAACAATCAAACAAAGCAGATTTTATGTTAAAATGACCTGCCATACATCTACAGACTGAGTGACCGAGTTAAGCGTAAGACAAAGTAGTTCTCTCCAACCACATATGATCAAGACAAATGTGGAATAGTTTAGTTATTTTCCACTATTTTCCTGTTATATACATTATGTGAAATAAATGAAGTATCAAAGTATCGATATTTTTATTTTAGTATCGATTATAGAACCTAAAGTTCTGGTATCGGTAGTATCATTTCAGTATCGATCTGCACATCACTAGAAGAGTGTGTGAGGTGGACAGTAGAGGTGGTGACAGTAACAAAAATAAACATGTAGCTGACTTTTCCCCACAAAATAGATATATATTTTAGCAGTTTTAATAACTCTTTAGTTACGGAGCTGTTTGTTCAGTCATGTTTTCTTTATGAACCAGATGAGAACATGACGGATCGCAGCACGCGGGCCGAGTCACGTTCAGCGCGTAAAGTTGTCTATGGAAGGCCAAACAGCACCTTACACATTAAAAAAGCCCACAGCTGGTGTTTTATCCACTCTGTGAACAGAATAAACATCGCTGTCATTGGCAGGAGGAAGAAAAAAGCCGCTAGGAGCGGAGAGGACACCGCCCCGCTGTACGTCGAACGCTCCCCGGTCAGGGTGGAGTTTAGCAGCAGCGCTCTCAGCGGACAGAGGGAGGGGAAGTGGAGGAGAGAAAAAAAAAGAAAGTCGCCTTTGGCCTTTTCTCTGGTTTAAAACGTTCATTCTAGCGGAGAACCTCTGGAAACTGTTCTGCTTTTCATCCGAAGGGGGAGAGCCGTCGACGGGACCGGACAGACCGAGGCTCACACAGGTCAGTGCTATACGCGTTTGTGGTAAACTTTAGGGGGGAAAAAAAAGTTTCACGGGTTTTTATTTATTTAATTCTTTTCCCCCGTGCAAGAAGTTGTCTCTGACGTCACCAGGACGTGCTAGCTTGAAAATGTAGCGAACGCACGCGGATGTTGTTTCCGTTCCTTTGCAGACAAGTCGAAGCTTTTAGAGTTTGATAACCAACAAGAGGATAAGATTACACGGAGAGGAAACGTCTCCTCTTCCTCACACGCGCCACATAGAC